ATTACTCCTCTCAAGTTAGTGATGATATCGTCTTCTCTCATTTCTTTATTCATTGCAGACACTCTCAGTTCTAACTCCTAATAAACGTACAATATACAAGTACATATAAATCAGTAATTATACTGTACATGTACATGTTACTATACATGTACACTGTTAATGTACATGTACATCAGTCATTACACTGTTAATAATTTAATATACACATGTAATACAGTCTACATGTACATGTACATGTACACGCTTACACTCCATTACCTTACCCTGTTGAGTCCCATCAGTTCATTTGATTTATTGTACCACTTGTCAATCTCCTTTAGACTGTTCCTAGTCTGCTCACGAGCTATATCACGCTCCTTCTTTAACCTACAATTAATAATTAATATTTTATTATTTATTATTATTATTTACTTTTTAATTTTCTTTTGTTTTTCAGTATCATCATAACAATCATCATATCTCATATCCAGCTGCTCCTGTTAATTAATTAATTAAAGTACAGTGTACAGTACCTGTAATGCAGTGATAGTCTTTGTTAGTTTCATATTGTCATTAGTTAGTGTCTCAATCTCTTCTTCATAAGAGAGTACCTTCTCCTCTAAACACTAACAATACACATACACTTGTAATACATACATGTACAGTACATGTAGATACAGATGTACATGCATAATGTATTTCAGTTACTTGTATAGTTTGTGTTCTTTCATCCATTATCTATACATGAGTAATATGAGTATTGATGTAAATAAATAAAATAAATAATGATAATAATTACACAAACTTGTGTCTTTGTTTTGGTGGCTTTTAGTTTCTCATATGATTTATTTAAACGATTTAACTAATAAAAGGAGGAGGAGGAGGTAGAAGAGATGGTGAGTGTATATTGTACATAATCTCATGATGTACTTCAGTTCTTAGTCTCAGTAGTTGGGTCTCAAGGTCACTGGTCTTCACTTTCAACTGTCTGTCACATTTAACCAACTCATCTTGAAGCCTCTTGATCTATTAATACATGAACCTTTACCCACTGGAACTAATGACACAATATACACTCTACATGTACACACGTAGTTTGAGCTGATTCTAAAAAATACTCAAGGCTATAGCCCATGGTTTTTTCCAAAAAATGGTTCCGAAATCACCCCAAATTTTTATTACATTTTCTGATACATATTGATGTCCTTATGCTGTGTAGCAAGTTTGAGCTGATTCCGACTTCAATTTTTCAAGTTACGGCCATTTTAAGAAAATACCAAAATTCTGAAAAATACCCAAGGCATAGCCCATGGTTTTTTCCAAAAAATGGTTCCAAAATCACCCCAAATTTTTATTACATTTTCTGATACATATTGATGTCCTTATGCTGTGTAGCAAGTTTGAGCTGATTCCGACTTCAATTTTTCAAGTTACGGCCATTTTAAGAAAATACCAAAATTCTGAAAAATACCCAAGGCTATAGCCCATGGTTTTTTCCGAAAAATGGCTTCGCAATCACCCCAAATTTTTATTACATTTTCTGATAAATATTGATGTCCTAATGCTGTGTAGAAAGTTTGAGCTGATTCCAACTTCAATTTTTCAAGTTACGGCCATTTTAAGAAAATACCAAAATTCTGAAAAGTACCCAAGGCTATATATAGCCCATGGTTTTTTTCCAAAAAAATGGCTCCAAAATCACCCCAAATTTTTATCACACTTTCTGATAAATATTGATGTCCTTATGCTGTGTAGCAAGTTTGAGCTAATTCCGACTTCAATTTTTAAAGTTATGGCCATTTTAAGAAAATACCAAAATTCTGCAAAGTACCCAAGGCTTTTTTCAAAAAATGGCTCCGAAATCACCCCAAATTTTTATCACATTTTCTG